TGAATTGAGTTCATTTTGCCTTGCTGGTTAACTTTTAAACCAGCACAGTAATTTACAGAACTTTAGATTGAGTACTCTCTATTAATAAAAAGGTTATCAAGGGTAGCAGTATTACAGTTGAATATATGTTTGTGAATTTTTTCCTCATGTTTGACAAGGATTGTTTGTTTTTTATACAAATTGCTGGCATATATGTTCTTCTGTTTTCATCACAAGTTAGCATGGGTCTTAATTTTGAGGTAGAATGACTCGTAGACTTCTTTTTCAGTAGCTGTAAGATGAGCTCCTATACTGTCTATTAATTGAGAGAGCGGCAGATGTCCATTATCATAAATTACTATTAGTAAGTATTATCGAATTATTGTTTTAGTTGTGGAATGGAAGTTGTATACTTGATCATCAGGTAAATGGTAATTTATTTTTGTTCTGTCTTGAAGTGCAATGAGAGGCAAAATTCACCAGTGACTTCCCCAGGATCTTCCCCTCTTGCACAAAGAAGAAAACCACTTCCAGACCCCCTGCAAATACCACATCTTAGTCTTCCACCTGTACCTCCTCGTCTGGATCTGATTCAGAAGGGAGTAGCACGGTCACCATGTGCCAGTCCAACTGGGTCACCAAAGGTGAGTCTTACTGAACCATCATTTCTTGATATAAGGATATTGAGAATTTGTATTTGATTGTTTTCTACGTGAACTTTCTTGTTTGTTTTGGAAGGTGGACTGTTTCAAAACTTTCCATATGTATTTTCTTTTTTCAGGAGTTAGCTCTGTCCAAAAGAACTTTAATTTCTTCTAGCTTAGGGAAATTTTAGATTAGATCCACATTGATGAAGTCTCTTATCTCTTTCCATCATACCTTATGTAGTTAAATGTTTCTGGCTGCATGTGTTGGTCAAATGTGACTTCATTTTGTCTGATGATTATATTGTACTTGGTTATGGTCAGAATTTTAAAGACATTGCAGTAATGGATCAGTTTTGTAATAAACTCCGATTAATGAAAATAAATAGAAACTAAAGTTTCCTGAAAATAGATTTAAAGGTCATTATCTCATTAAAATTATATGTTTTCCTCTCAGGATGATTTATGGTCAATTTCCACAGTGTCCTTATAAGAAAAATATGTGCAGATACACTGCTTTCAGAAGCTTAAATGGCATATAATAGGACTCAAGTTTCAAGGGAAGTAATAATGACTCTTGTATGCTGTGTTTTGTAAAATGAATGATACTAAAGAGTCAATGATTTTTTGAGTGGATAAGCATGAAGGAGAACAAATACTGTTTGTTGCTCTCCATTACAAGTAGATTGTTTTGTTGTAATTGCTGTATAGCGAGAACAAGTTAGATGTAAATTTTTCATTTTTAGATGATGAATAAAAATTCAAGTTCAAACCATGACTCGAAACCCATGTGATCATAATAATCCCATTTGAAGTGCCCTATTTCTTTTGTCAGGTTTTTACTTTAAACTTGAAAATCAACATCTTTTTAAGATTCTAGTGGTTTATAATTTAGAAGAAAAAATGGAAGTTTGAATAATTTCTTTAATCTTCTTTCATAATTTCCTATATTATGCAGGGGAATTTGTAACACACTGAAGATATACACAAAGTACATGCCACATCCATTAAAATTAATTTTACAATAGCATTTTTTACAGAGTTTGTGGCTTTAAAAAAAAAGAAAACCAGAAATACCATTAATGCTGCTTTAATATTTTGAAAATTCTTTTTTCTTTGAAGCTTTTCCTGGAAAAAAAATAATATTTGGGGAGTATAAAGGAAATAGAATGGAGGCAACAAAGAATAATTTTATACTTAAAAAAATTTCATATTTAAGAAAAAGATGGTTTAGTCCTGCCAAAACTGCTACTTCAGTCAAAAAAACGTTTCTATATTTCTGCAGTTAAAAACTATAATTTATAACTAAGCTATAACCAAAAATATGGACCTAACTATTATGTTCGTGTCTTGACAGTGAGAATAACTATTTTTCTTAACTAGCAGCTGAATTAAATGCTTCTTTATTTAGTATACTGTCCTTTTCATATGAATAAACCTGTAGATAAAATAACTTTATTTTCAATTCAAGTAATATGTTAAGGTGTTGCTTGAAGAATAGTGCTGGGCTAACCAGTGAAGCGAAAGTAAATGTAATTATTACTTTAAAACTTTCGTGACCCCTATTTCTTAAAGTGGTAATAATATATGAAGGCTTACCAAAGTTGAAGAAAATTACATGTTCCAAAGGAAATAATCTTCCCTGCCTTTCTTCTGGTAGCTGGAGATAAAACATTCATAAAATCCTGGCCCAACTGTTACTTTGTAGAATGCCATTTATAAACCATTCTTAGTGAGAATGTTTTGGTTTTGTCAGATTTGTGATCTTAGAAACTATGCAGCTACCTGTATAAGTTTTTTTCCTGATAACTTGGTATTCAGTCTTTTAGTATTAGTATACATAATTTTAGAAAACATTTAACCATTACATGATGTAATTCAATTCTGAGAAAGGAAGTATTTTGGCAAAAGTTGTTTGCAGATGAGCTAACTGCAAATATAACTGCATACTAATTATCTTGTTACCTGAAAAAATGAACTGCAATTAGACAAATTGGGCAGTCTAACAATGCATGTCATGTAAAGATTGGAGTCATCCCTAGGTATATAATTAAAAGTGAAATAATTGTTTCTGCTTCTACTTTCTTCCTAATCATTGATTATTGTTTTTTGTGCTCGTTCGCTGTCACCAAGTAATTCCCCTGGGATATTGGGTTTGCTTTGTTTGGAGGGTTTTTTGTCTGCATCAAGAAGTCTGTTTTTTCCAAGCATTCCTTAGAATACGTTTCAGCAGATGAATAAGTGATTCAAATAATCAAAGCCAAGGATACTGGAAAAGCTTATGGGCCAGTTAAACATGCCTCAGTTAGTTGTCTTTTCTGCTTTCCACTCCTTCTTTGGGTTACTCATGAACAGCAGAAATGGGGGCATGCTTTCTGAACAGGGGCCAGGTTGTCTGCAGAATGCAGACTTTTAACCTACTGGCAAGTGCTCTTGTGATGCCAAGAAAATATCTCCATTAGAACTGGTAAAGCCACACTTGATCGTCAGAAATACTCATGCCTGTATCTAACTTTCCTTTCTTTTAACTTACTATGTTGTTTAGTCTTCTCCTTGTATGGTGAGGAAACAAGATAAACCTTTGCCAGCACCACCACCTCCCTTGCGAGATCCTCCACCGCCCCCACCAGAGAGACCTCCACCAATTCCACCAGACAACAGGATAAGCAGACACCTGCATCATCCAGAAAGTGTGCCTTCCAGAGACCAGCCAATGCCCCTCGAAGGATGGTGTCCCAGAGATGCGTTTGGGACAAGTCAGTTGGTAGGATGTCGAGTGGGGAGCGATGCTTCTCCCAAACCAGGACTGACTGCCATTTCAAACGTGAATGGAAGGCACAACCGCGTAAGTTCTGATCCAGGATTTATGAGGAAACACAGACGTCACGAGCTGCCTGCAGAAGGTGCCAAGGTATTTCAAATGAAATGGATGTTGAATCCTTATTTGATACCCTACTGCAGCATTGTCTTGCATTGGCTAAAACACTGTTTATATTGGTCAGTGTTGACCTGTGGTTTCTGAGTCTTTACTGTTGATACTTAGTAATAAGCCGATTGTAAGGAAATGGTTTGTTAAATATTGTAATTTGTAAAGCAAAAGTACGTGAGGGTCTGAGTTACAATTTTCACATCAAACCCTCAAAAAATGTCATGGAGAGAAAATTCTAAATGTGCTATATTCTTTTAGCAAGTCATCCATGATATGCTGTAGCGTAGTTATATAACATCTCAGGTCCACTTTGGAAGTGTCATATGCCAAAACTGTGTATGCATTTGCTGATGAATAGATGTTCCAGTTAGTTCTGTTGTAGGTGAGGTGACAACTTAGTAACCTCTTCAGTTACAATTATACTTGAATTATCACATATATTGTGTGCGTTAACATAAAAACTAAATATTCTAAAGGTTACTTGCGTTGTTCATCAGTAAAGCTTACTTTCAAAAGAACTTTAAATTAGTCATGATGTTCAGTATACTCTAATGAAGAAGATCTAACTTGCCTTGACCCTAAGAAAGATAAAATAAAGCCAGGATAAATGTAGAATGATTTATTGTGTCTTTACCATTGCTTATATGGGCAGCATCCTTGAAAGTGCTCAGTGGCACAGCCTTTAGCAGAATTTTTTCCTCTTTTGTACTTAAATCAGAACTCCAGTTGCTGGAGTTGTACAATGTTGTAATTTGTCTATAGCAGTTTATAACTTCTCTTGGACAAAAGTCCAGTGTAATAGTCCATTTCAGAGTTGTCACTTGAAACCTTTCCACTAATTGTCTGGGTTGGTTTGGGTAGGGATTTGCTTGTCACCCACAGGAGAAATATGTTTTCCTGTTCTCAGGTGCATGTCTATAACTATGATGTTTCTTCTGTTAAAAAAAAAATGGATTGTTTCTATATGTTACTTCAAGATATCTGGGGAGGAAAGCTTAGAGGGAGTAGTTCTGTCATTGAGCAGCTTCAGGCACTTGCAAGGCCATGTGCAATTGGTCAGGCTTAGCTTTGAAAAGAGATCGAATGATGATGGCCCAAGAAAAAATTCCTAGTTCTGCTCTAATCAGTTTTATCAAAGCAGCTCAGTAATTTAGTCATAGATCTTATTAACTCAAAGCTGCTGCTCGTGTTTGTTTTTTTTTGCTTGAAGACTACATAACTTGTGCTAAGATGAATGGATTTGTGGTTAAGTCATGATAGTTAGAAATAAATTTTTTTTTGTCTATTTGCTTTTCCCAAGATCACAAACTATTTAACCTTTCTATCTCCAGTTTAAGGTGTTTTTTTAATATGGATGTTTTGGTTATTTTGAAAGTATGTTAGTGGAATTCAATTACTATTGATAGAAAGTGTTGACATCTATGATGAAAGGTGCTTAAATTGTCTATGATATTATATATTTTACTTGGAACTAGGCTGTTGTTTAAAATGCTATAGCTTTCTGTCTGATTTTCAAAGGATACTGGGTTTCTATCTTCAACTATTCCTTTATGTAGTATTCTAGTTATGGTCTGGCACAGTTTTGAAGCTGAGGGAATGAATACATTTAAAATTAGAATACCCACTCAGTGTAGAAGTGCCGTTGTAGTCTGGAGTAGTTTCATATACAAATCTTTAACCAAGTACTGTTTAAACTGTCATCTTCATGGTTATAGTTCTAAGCCATTTGATTAAAGGGAGCAACAGAAAACTCTGAATTACCATTTCAGGCTGTATTCACATTCATGAGGGAAACATGGAATGCATTTCCATCCCTGATTCATGTATCATTTGTGATATAAACTTTTTGCTATTGATAAAAGCCGAGAATAGGGAAGACAATCCTGTGGGTAGAGGATGGATTCTGGCAGGCACTGTAACACAGAGTTTTAAAAAAATGAATGTTTAGTATACTGTACTTGTTGCTTTTCAATTGCATTTCTTCTCTCTCACTTTGTGATCTTGAAAACTTAATTTTCCCTCAAGCAGTTCAGCTGTAACAGAGTAGTCCAACTAGTAACCATGGTGGGAAACTTCCTCTTTTGGTGAAGCCTTAAGCTAACATGTTCTACAGCTCCCAAAAGGGATGAGCTGAAACAGATATGAGAGGCCCTTCAGATAACAGGTCTGTAGCATGAACTGGCAGGAAAGCCTTTACCCACAGTCTTCCCAATATCTGTTGTATAATACCTAGTTGATGAATATCCATGATGAGGAACAGAAGGAGATACCCATTGTAACACTTGTGTGATTTGTAGGTTTTTTCGAATGGTCATCTGATAAATGAAGAATATGATGTCCCTCCACGGCTTTCACCTCCCCTTCCAGCTGTCTCCATCATCCCTAGTATAAAGTAAGTTAACTTTATCTGTCAAAGAAATGTGTTAATTAATGTTTGATAATAGCACTGATTCTCTGGTGCTCAAAGCAAAACGGGAAAATGAAAGAATTTAACTAATATAACTTGATTATATGCTTTCCATGAACTTTATATTCCCTTTGTAAAACCACATTAAATTGTATTGATTAAGTGGCAGCAGTTCTGATATTAATTGAACATAGCATGTTTTTATAGGAAAAGAGGCTAAATTGAGCAAGGTCTTGCTCATAAGCACTTGGCAGTGGGGGCAGATTCTGTCTGGTTTTACTTCTACTACTACAGGAGAAGTGTGGTCAGAGCTGTTTATCACAGAATGATTATGACAGATTCTAGGGAAAGTGCTAAGGGTAAAGAATATAATTTGTCAGTGTTCTGCACCTAATCAAGTCATGCTTTCTGGGCTTTCTGCGCAATGGGCTTTATTCAGGGTTCACACCAGTGTCTGCTCTTTGCTGTGGCAAAAAAACCATACAGACAAAACCATTTTATATAATTTTAAATAGGATCAACCTCCTTGAGTTCTAAAATATGGTTTGGGAAGTCTTGTCATTTCAAGTTGCAGACTATTTTTAGTCTTCCAGTAACATGACTGTGTATTTTTTACCAAGGTGTTGCCGGCATAGGAAGTATCTTTGGACTCTGAATCACACAGGATTTTGTACAGAACAAGATACATTTGAAGTAAAAAAACTTGGAAGTCCTATAATATAGTTTGTCCTTTTTTGTGTTTTTGTACAGAAACTGGAGCATATTACCATGTTTGATGCTATCCTACAGCTTCTTTCCAGAGTACTGCTTGTCATTTTTGCTGTTAAATAAAATAATTGGACAGTCAGTATGTATTAGTACTGAGAACTTTCTCATTAGTGTGCACTCATTCTGTTCAGTTAGCTTTAACATAGAAGACAAATATATTTCAGCTTTTTATTAGTATGCTGTTTTTTCTCTTCCTGACCACAAGAATAAAGGTGCAGTGGAGCACTGAATTTTTTTATTCAGAAACCTGTTTTCAGGTGGAGCAATTGCTGAGGTGAAGTTCTCCATGCTTGCTTTCAGTTCAGAAGGAAACTTTAGAACATTATCCAGACATAGCTGTAATTCAGTCCTGGGATGTAACCTGGTGGAGGGAGGGTATCACAGGAGTACCAGTTGGATACCTCATGTAATCAAGTCCCCTTCTAGTCTACTTATTTATAATATGGTGCAAAAGCTGGGATGTTCTATGCTCTGTGAGAAAGAGGAAACAGTAACTGATACAAAAATTAGGAAAGTTTTCATATGCCAAAGCAAATAGAACTCTGAAGAGGGGAAGATTCTTATTTTTGTATTTCATAGTGTGGAAAAACCGTAACATTCTTCTTCATAAGAATCCCATTTTTTAATCAGACATTTGCAAATTTAGCCTAGAATCAAAGTACCTTGTATACAGTATTCACTGGAAGTCCACAGGATATTTGTAACAATGTGAAGTGGCACACAATCCATGTCAAGCCAATCCAAGGCTAGAATGTGTGACTTCAGATTGGTCAAAAGAAATGTTTTCATTAACCAAAGTCTTCTGAATAGAAAACTGATGTATTCCAGCAAGAAAATATTCTTCATTTGCTAAAACCAAATTCCACTGACTTTTGAGGAAGAAATTAACTCTCATTTGTGTTTCGGCTTTGTAGTCACACCTTTTCAAAATTACACAGAATGTTTTAAATTTTGATTTTTTAAAATGTAAAATTATTAATACATAACATAGGGGTAAGAAGTACAGATTTTCTCATTACTAAAATGTCACATGGAATGACTGTTAAAAATAAAATTGATCATTTTATGTCATTTCTTGAAACACTAATAGGTCTATTTAAAATTTACTTTAAATTAAGTTTTTGTTACCACTAGGAAATACCCCAATAATCTGTAATACTGTGTGGCAACATGTGGGTGGAAAAACTGGGGAGGGAGGAAAAAAAAAAGTCTTCAAAAATAACAAGTTCAATAGGTTTAACATTTACACCAACCACAAAAATTGCTCTCAAAAAGGTAACCCAAATAATACCTAGCACGATTTCATTTGAAACATCAGAATATTTTTACAGTGTATTTTTCCTCTTTAGCAGTTAAATTGACTGCTAAGCACTCATAAATATGTTGAACTGTACTTGATTCAAAATACTTTTACTTTCCACAACTGTGGTACTGCAATTAATCTGGTACAAGTTTTTCATTTTTTCCTACTCTGGAATCTCTGCAGTGTTGTGGATTGAGAGCTAGTTTGTTTTTTATAGCTCCAAGGCATTCTATTCTTTCTAGTTATCATCAGTCTGTAATTTCAAACATTTGACTGAAGGATACATTGATCATTTATGAAATGTCATAATCTAAATAACGAGGAGGCAGAATGGCCCTTAACTTGAAACTTCACAGTTCTAAAATGCCCCTACTTGTTTGCTCAGTTTTTACTGAGTATAATATGACTTCTTTTTTTTTCCCTTAAAAAGTACATTAATAGAAAAGCACTGGAGTTCTTTTTTTTTTCTGAAAACGGTGCTGATTCATTTTCATTTTACTAAAGCAATTATTATTAACTGTACTTTAATAATGAGAAGTGGGACTCTTGCTAACCAAACATCTGATTTTTTATTTTTCACTCAGCCACTATGTTGCAGACCTGACATGCGAAAATAGTTATTTTTAATTGGACTGCTGTAATTATGTCAGATTTTTTAGCAGTTTTGATCAAATTGTTATTCTGTTATTAAAAAAAAATAAAACTTATATGTCAAAGATACAGAACCATTCTTTCCCAAAACTTTAAAATTTTCAAGTTAAATAGTGTTTGTTTTATGCCAGTGAGTAGCTTCCATTTTACTACATCAGTAGAAAATTGGCCTCTTTGTCTCAAAAGTTCTGTGTACCACAGAGATACTTTGTGTGAGGGAGCATCCATTTTTGAGTATGTAATGAGGCATCCAATTCCAAGTGCCTTTTGTAGTCTATAAATATATTAGGAACATTTAGTTGCTTTGAGGTAGTTAAGGGAAAAGTAGCACCAAAAGGTATTTCTTCTCTTGCTGTCTCTTCTGTTTTGCTAAAAAAATTTGAAGGGGAAACCACAGTTCCATTAAAGCCAACTCTGATTTGAAAGTCCTGGTTCCCTTGAAATCAGCCTTTGGCATGGTGCTTCTCAAGTGACATTAGAAGGAGCATGGCTGACATGCAGGTTCCAGACATCTGAGAGATGATGCTCTGGAGGACACAGTGTGTCCTTACTCATAGCTTGACGGGCCAGTGAGTTTGAGTGCTCAGCTGTTCTGTCATAATTCTCATTGTGTTGCAGCTTACTCTGTGACAAATATGAGCAGTTGGCAAGTGTTGATTTGATCGTGTGGTCCATATAACTTCATAGAATCACATAATGCTCTCAACATAGCACTGATACTTTGTGCAGAAAAGGGACAACTGCACTTGAAGCAGGCACTTACAGAGCTGGCCAGAAAGCACACCAGGTACTTCAGGCTGGCACAAACAGCCAAGGAACAGCTGCTAAGGAGACAACAGTTGCTCACTGTGGAAGACAGAAGGGGCAAGAAGGAAGCAAAGTGTTGTTATTGTCACTGAATCATAGAATAGAATCATAGAATCAACCGGGTTGGAAAAGACCTCCAAGATCATCAAGTCCAACCCTTGATCCAATACTGCTGTGGTTACTAGACCATGGCACTAAGTGCCACATCCAGTCTCATCTTAAAAACCTCCAGGGACGGTGAATCCACCACTTCCCTGGGCAGCCCATTCCAATGTCTGACTACTCTCTCTTGTAAAAAATTCTTCCTAATATTCAACTTAAACCTCCCCTGGCACAGCTTAAGACCGTGCCGTCTTGTCCTACTGCTGGTTGCCTGGGAACTTAAAACTTACTTTTCTGAAACAGAGTTTGCTTGAGGCCTTACAAGATTAAAGCTTTTGTCTGCAGTAGCAGGTAATGCTCTGCATAGGACAGAGGAGTTTAGAGTAAGGAGCTGATGTCTATACTGTACACATTATGGGGCAGCAGTTCAACTGGCTGTAGTCTTGTCCCATGACTTAGAACACTCTTTAACCAGCAGAATGTAGTAAGGGCCTGCTTGGAATGTATCATGTATTTTAGCGTAATCTGAAATGTATTCAGGTTGTGCATTCCTCAGTGCAAATCAAAGTGTGGTAAGTGGGGAGAATAAAGGGATTAATTTCAAAAACACAGTCCTGACCAGACTGAAATACATGGGCTGCAAGTTCATCAAGATTAAGTTCTTTGAATCAGTTTATCAGTAAATGATGGAATGTGAGCCTTTCTCGGAAATACTTCTAAATAAGTGTGAGGTGTTGGTTTCCCTGGAGTTCTGGTTACAGCTAAGCTGGACATTTAATGGCTCAACAAAAATGAATTCTCACATCTTTTCCTGATTTGCCTCTGGCCCTTGGTGCTTATCAGGATAAGAGATTGACATCCAGCCTTTTTGTTCAACAAACCAGAATATAATTCTGACTTCCAATTTTTAAAGTATTTCCACTTAAGGAGTAGAAAGGGGCACTAGAGAGTATATAAATACAGTGTACTGGTTAGTTTTGTATTCCTCTGTACACAAATCTTATAAGGATGTAAGAACAATGAAGTACTGTAAAGTGTAATTATAGAAAACTTCACCAGCTTGATAAACAGATGCATATTTCATCTCTCTGCTTATAATGACAATGTTCACTGTTTAGTTACAAAAAACTTTATTTTTCTGGATGATTTTGTGTAGAACAATAGAGTTAGTCTTAGAACAATAGAGATTTAATAATTCAGTTTGATCTTGAAGCAATTTCAATAATAATGGAGAAAATGAGATAGACATCTAGCAGAACAATGCAAAACAGGTTTCGAGTCAAATACCATTACAACTGGAGTAAATTGAAAGAGAAATGTGATTTTTTTAAAAAATAAAAATTGTGAAATAATAATATGAAAGTTTAGGGCAATTTTTGGACCCTAATGAAGAGTATATTAGCTGTATGTTGGTACTCTAACTCTTCTACTGCTTTACAGATCTTTACCTTTCAGATATTACTCACATCATATTTACAATCTGGCAAGTATTTTCCTTACTTTAAAGGTAGGAAAACAGAGACTTTACTAGTGTGAAGGACTTTTCTAAGGCCACACAGTATTCAGAAGCAGGAGACCTGAAACTCATGTCTTTAATAATACCTCCAAAACTAATAACAATTTCTCAGCAGAGAAGGGGAGGGGCGCTGTGTGTTTGGTTTTTTTCCCCAGTAATAGCCTTTAAAGAGGGCTTCAAACAATACTACCAGCCTGGTTTGGTCAGTATTGGACATTCCTGATGTAGTGATTAATATTTGTAACATTGCTAGCTGCAGAAGCAGCAATTCGATTTGTAATTATTTTCTAAAAAATACAGGCTTATATCTTTGTATTTGTGTGTGTGTGTATATATATAGATATAGATATATATCTTCCAATATATGTGTATAAAAACCCCAACATCTCCAGAGCATACTGGATTGCCAGTAAGAATGATTATACAGCCACAGGAATGAGATAATTTGTTCTTTGTTGGTCTTTTAACTGTCTACCTGAGAATCATACAGATTTCTCATTGTCCCACTACATTTTTACATTCTGTTCCCTAAAGGTCTGAACATCAGTGACACAAGCCTCTTGTCCATCTAAGAAATCAAGGATGGAAAAAGCAATTTCACACTGCTTTGCTGTGGGAAATTTTGCTCCCTCTGCACAACGTGGTTGAAAACTGCAATATAGAGTTTGCGGTTCAGCACCATAAATGTTCTTTCCTCTGTCTTTGGCTACTATGTCTTTGCAAAAAAAGCTGGATTCCCATCTTTCCGGAGCTTGTTTGTGAAGTCAAAAGTATAACAGTGGTTGAAGGAAAGCATATGAGAAGTTACAAGTAGGTAGGGAGCTCTAGGCTTTGAATATATTAAAAAAAATAGGCAGCATATCTGCCCTCTTCTTTCTCTGTTCTTTTTCTTTCTCTGTTTTTTGTATATTAATTAATTTAGTGACTGGCTAGTACTCCTGGTTGTTAGTTATTTGGCTTTGTTCACAGAGTACATGGTTGTTCTGAAGTCGTGGTATCATCTACAGTCAATAGTGCAAGATCCGTGCTTTTCCTTTGTGGAGAAGTGTGCTCTGTGAGTCAGGTGCTCCTTGTATTGAAAAAATTGGGAAATAGGCCTGGCCTGTCATTTCAGCTCTTGCACTTATGATAAAATCAAACTAATTAGGCTACAGTAAAACAAATTGTGTCCTTCATATATTTCCTTATAAGTCCTTAAAAACTTCCTTAAATGGTGTATGAAGTAGTATCTTGTAATGTAGCATTTAGTTCAGCTCAGGGGCCGTGAGCCATACTTTCAAGCCATGAATCCAGATGGCTGTGGATGCATTGCACATCTTTATTCAAGGTCCTCTCTGTGTTGGCTTTTTTTGTGGCAAAGCATAAAGGTGCTATTCACTGCATAATGTAAGAGCTAGATGATGCACATACTGCTCTTTATGTTTATCTAGTATAAGAATCAAACTTCTCTTTGTGGTTTTCATGTATGACCTGGCTGAAATTAGATTTAGTCCTTAATGTAAGCTTTTGTATTTTAGATGTTTTGTGAGTTTCTTATTTATCTTGACATATTGGAGTAATTGCTGTAAACGGAGCAGCTCAGTGTATAAAAGAGTAGATGATGATAATTGCTAGACCTATAACCTAGCTACTTGTATTTTCTGAAGACCAAAAGATACGTTTAGCTTGTTAATAGCTAACAAAATTATTTTCTCAAGACTGCCCACTAAAATTAAATTTTTACTCATCGTTCTCTTTACAGTCATATGGCAGAAAGCCACAAAGTAAGAGTTAGGTTTGTTTTTTTTTTTAAGAAATCTTATACCCAACAGTGTTCTCCACGACAGAAATTGTTACCTGTAAATGGAGATTGTAAAGTCTACTTCTGTCCTGGGCTTCCACTGCTTTCAAGAAGTGATATAAATCACTGTCTGTGATGACAATTAAAGACAGTATTTGTCTGAAGTAAAACCAATTTAAAATGCATGCAGATTCCAGGAGTTTTATAGTATTAGGGGTGGTACAAGACTGCACTGAAAGGGTGAGTGTCTGCTGCATCACTAAGCCCTGCTCAATGCTTTATGCCCTGAATTAACTTTTGTTTAGTTCTTTTGATAAGTGCAAACAGGTTAATCCTTCCAAGTGCCTATTTAGTACTCGAATTCTTTGCAATTCTCTGCTATGCCTTACTTGCTTAAAGTAGCTGTTTAACTCTCAGAAGGTCAGCTGCCCTTTTCTCTGTGCATTCTCAGTGACAAAAAAAGCCAGTAACACTACAAGTTTGTCATGGTGTTTTTGTCTCCTTATATATAGCAGACATTTATTAAGGATGTTTGGGCTAAAGAAGAGTATTCTCTGTATTATCTGAGGTCAAGTACATAACAGTTAAAACAATCTCTTTGTCATCTCCTTAGGTGCCCTGGTCCTTCAGCAAATTCTCTGTCTGATAAATCAAGGGATCATACAGATGATGATGATGAATACAAAGTTCCTTCATCACATCCTGTAATACTGAGCTCACAACCACCTCACGGTCATCATATAAAACCTCTTGCTCGGTAAGGTAATTTAGCAGCCTTGAAAGCAACTTATTTACAAAGCCACTGCTTTTTCCAATACTAAACTGGATTCAATGTTTCTAAAGACTTAAGCTTGCCTGCCTTCTGAAATGTCTTATCTTTTCAAGCTTGAATTACTTATGCTTCTGTTTCGTTTGACTACCACCACCTGTGAAGTTCATTTATCTCTCTTGTGTCAGAACTGGGTATTTTTTGCTTTTGAGTGCTATTTCTGCAGTTGATCCTTTTTTAACCCTTAGGCTGAGGTTTTCAAAAGTGACCAGGAGATTCAACCCCCACATCTCTTTCAAATTTAGTTTTAAGGAGAATTTTGTGTCTGAAATTCCCAAAGTCAGCTTTGAAAATCTTAAACTTTCCCATTTTAAGAAGTGATGCAGTACTGAAAAGTATGTGAACTGGCAGCTGTATGTACATACTTTGATTCTCTTTTTGTCCGATGTGTAGGGTGCCTTTTTAGCTTCTTGAGCCTGTTTGGCAGCATATTTTCTTTGTGCTTCTCAGGAAAAGAACCTTTTTTTAATACAAATGGAATATATCTCCTTAGTTTTAAATGTGTTCTAAAACACTGTCTCCAAGCTTTCACAGTTCTGAATTACTCATGAATTATGGCAAGGAGATTTGGAGCCAAGGGCCATGGCAACTGAAAGCTGTGTCATTCCTGGTGAACTTCTTGGACTTTGACTCATAAAATAGTCTGAATGGCTGGAATTAAGTGAATAAGTCTTAGAATTAAGTGAATAAGTCTTAGAAATAAAAAGGGGACAATTTTCTACTGGTCTTGTAGGTCAAAAGTATGATATTAAAATCAAGTATTGATCTAAAAAGTTTAGACTCTTCTGTGATTAAAAATTGCAGTGACATATAGCCATTTTTTTCCTCTGTCAGAATGTGATTCAAAGACCTACCATCAGTGAAACCCAACATGTCTCTCAGCCTAACATTAGCCAATTATAATTTTTAGACCTCTTTAATCAGAACTTAAAAGAGGTAGAAAAAAGGTCATAGTATGATTACTCCTTGCATGCAGGTTAAAAATTCTGTCTTTATTAGAAATGCTGATCCAGTCTTTACTGCATAGACATGAATATTACACAGTTGTCTAAGCTTTATGAACTTGAGTACTTAAATGTTCTTACCTACAGTATGAGACTTTAAAAAAAATCAATGCTGAATAAAACTGTCAAGGTTGACTGAGGAAAAAAGTAGGAAATTAAAAAAAATTCCAAGGTCCTAATCCTTTTTACCTATGCCATTTTTTATGGGATTGTACTGTGCTTCTGCACGGGAATGTCTTTTTGTGCCGTGTAAAGTCTTCTAATAGAGGCTGAGCTGCTTGCATGACCAAAGTTACTCAGGATGTAACCTTTCTTAGACAGAAAGTTGTCTGCAGCAGAAGAGAGCAGTATGTGGGCAGATTACCTTGGTTTAGCAGCTTCTGAGGACTGTTTGGGTTAGCAAGTATTGTGGTGCAATAGGAGAGAGCCTGCAAAGGGGACCAGTTGACTCCAAGGACCCCACATCCACACTGTATGTTTTGGGAAGCCTCAGATTCATACAAGCCCTAACATGGTCCTATGGCTGGAGTGCCCTTTAGTAATTGCAGTCCACAGGATGAGCTCCTGCAAGACATCTTTTGAGTTAACATCACCCAGAAGCAGTTGGGTCTGCCTGGTCTGAGACCTCTGCAATGTAAAACAAAGTGCTAAAATGGGGATGCGAACTGAAAGATTCTTGAGAAAATAACCAGCTGGAAAAGTAGAAACTCATCATTTTTCTGTAGCCTTCTTTTGCAGAAAAAAAAAGAATTGAATGGTTGGCTGGTACAGGATTTTAGCAGGCCCTTAGACTTATTAATAGAGGCTGTAGATAAAAAGCTTAGTTAAAGTTTTTTACGGATTTTACTGTGCGCATGGTGGGGTTTTTTTTGGCATGAATCCAGGACTTTGTACAGAAAAAGTACCTCAGTTTCCCATTTAGGTTGCTCCATGATTAAAACCACCAACTCTTCTTATTATACATTCTGATAAGAATTTTAACTCAAACCATTCTCCTAAGCATTTAAAAAAAAAAAAGAAAAAAAGAAAATCTGGTGTTCCATATAGTTATATAGTTATAATGTCTTCTTTTAGCTGTCTCTGCTTAGATGTGAAAGCTGAGATAAATCTTTCAAGAAAGACTCTGGTTTCTGGTTGATGTTGTGTTCCTTTAATGCACTTCTTTAAGTCTCATGGGGAGGGGTTTTTTGTTTCAAGAAAACTTCTCAGTATTGCTTAGCAAAACTGTTAACATTTTTTTAATTTTTTTTTTAATTGTCATAAATTTTTAGCACATTTCAGTTTTTTTCCCCAGTGTCACTTTCTTCTGTCTCTTTCCTAAGTGTTACTTCTTCATCTCTTGCATAGTACTTGAAATTTTCAGTAAGCTAAAGAGCCCACTAAATTCTTGTGGATGTTTTGTAATTTAGAAACTGTGTAATTCTTCCATCCTACTCCCAAATTTGTATTGCCTCTAAGACTTTTCACTCTTTTACCAGTAAATGCAACAATGCTAAAACTATTACAAAAATAATATAAAAAATTATTCAGTCTTAATTTCTGGCAGATCAGTTAATTGTCTGTTTTGTTACAGCTGATCATCTCTTCCCAGGTATGGGGCAAGTTCAACAATAAGAAATGGAGGGAAATAATTTCAGCACTACTAATTAGGCTACTTTTAGAAGAATGTTACATTATTACATTCACTATCTTTTCCTAGTAAAGCTTTCTCCAAAAAGGAAAAGGACAGAAGGCTTGCCTGTTAGTACTCATTTGTTACCCTTCTTTTTGGAGTTAACTGTTGATGTAAACAGGTATTTCAGCATTATTTGTAAACTCGTTATGAACTGAATACTTCTGAAGTGGTGCCGTGTTAAATTACTTTGCTGCCTGTGGCTAGTTACATTATTGAAAATGCAGAATAGATTAAAATTAAAGTAGAAAATATTCTTCATTACTTAGTGTATATGCTGAGGAGTCACTATATGCTGAGGAGTCAAAGGAAGTGTTGCATCCACTGCATTTGAAAGATTGAACCAATCTAATATCAAAGACAGAAGCAACACTTCCTTTACCACTTCTCTGGGGGAATGAATTCATAGCAAAATAGCACTTATCATTAGGGTAGTTTTGTTGTTTTGGTTTCTTTTTTTAAATCTTGCAATTATTCTTACATTTATTTCATTACTCCTAGTTGTAACTCTGGGGACCACAAACACAATTTCACTTCCTCTTTCCTGTTTATGTATTCTAAATGATTCCAGACCTTTTATTTCATTCCTCCTTTCCATATGGCAAAAGCTGATATGTGTATTAATACTATTGGTAAAAACCCAAGATCTGAAATTTTAGCTGTATATAACTCCAGCAGATTTCCCAATATTTAGTAATAATGGTGCATGGTGGGTTGGGATTTTTATTTTTAAGCTGGAATTGCTTAGCATGGTGGCCTTTTTCCCAAGAAACTTTCTGTTTTTTCTGAATATGCAGGGTCCATGGTTCCAGTGACAGGACTAATTTCCTAGTTCTTTCATGTTTCTTTAAACAATATATAATATTCTGAAAAGGCTTGTTCTATGTTTTTCCCTGCAATATTTGAACAAAGTCATCTTACAAAAATAAACTCCAGTGGTTTTGACAAGATTATAGGCACTTTGTACTGTTTGGTTGGATGAGTTTCATATTCAATTTGATACTGTTATTTAATTTTGAGAGTATAATATGCTTCCATTAAAAAAAAAAATCAGTTAACTGTGATAGAAGTATCAGCAAGACTCAGCTTTTTGATACAGAAATTAATAGGTTCCTGCAAAAGTGCTTTGAATGGTTTAATTTTGGGGGTTTTGCTGTTTTTTTTTTTAATGTTTAGCAAAGAGTTTAGTTGAAATTTGTTATTATTAGTGGTGTGTAGTGGAGTTCTGTTTGGATTTTTTTTGTTGTTCTTATTTTTTGTTTAATGGCTTTTCTGTGTGGATCATAACCAAAATCTACACCAATCTTTTTCATATTTCTGCTAGGGAAAATTCAACATCTGGGAATGCAAAATGGGATTGAGTCTGTGACTTAACTGTGTGAATAAAATAATGACTTGAGCTCTGAAGTGATGACTGTGTTTAATATTAGTTCTTCCTCTAACTTGTATTGCAGCCTTGAGTAAGTTATTTAAACCATGTCAGTATCTCACCAAGAAAGCAGTATAATCCTTCAAAGCAGTTTTACTGGTGGTTAACCAGTATCTGCTCTCAATATCAAAACCCATAAATTTTAAAATTGGCACAGCTTATTATATTTCATTCATTTCCATATAGTGAACTGCCAGCACAGGTACTTGGTCGTTCTGGGAATTAATGCTTGGCTAAATGGTTGATTGCTTCCTGCTTAATGTCTGTCTTCAGGGTGTGTGAGAACGGTCAATGTGCTGGAGTAACGAATGGAACACACAGTACTACTTCTGAGATAAAGAAATCAAAACATCCTGAATTAGGTATGTTTTTACTTTTCGCTGTTTATCAAGAAAATTTACTCTGTGCTGCTCTAGGGGTACAGCAAGAAAACATTCACTTCTTGTGGTTGTGTCATTCAGGAGATGTCTATGATGCACCTACTCTTCCGGTACCTTTGCCACCTGCACGACCTCCTACCAGAGACAACCCAAAACACAGCTCTTTGCTCAACAGGACACCCTCCGATTATGATCTTCTGGTGCCCCCTTTAGGTTGCAGACTTTTTGCTGATTACATGTAATGGTTAACACTGCCTAGATGAACTAAATGCCATGTTTACTGAAAAACAACCACTGTCGAGTATGCTAAGAATACCAGACAGGCTATGAGCTAAATATTACAGCTGTAAGTCAATATTTGTGTCAGTGATCTGCACTTGGAGTCTGCCTGTAAGCCCTCACATGAGACACAAAAAGGCACACTAAAACATTTTCCCTATAATAAATTTTAATTGTTTGTCTCTACTAAGAAGTTTGAGCATTGCAATTTTATGCAATACTGGAGGGGTTTTCCTATTGTAGCTTAAATAGTTCCATTTATTTTAACAAATACAAAAGTGCCAAAGAGATGGTATTTATGTAAAAAAACCCAAACCACTAATTTAGTAAGTTTATTTCTGGGATTTTTTCCACTGTCAAGGGACAGTTCAAAACTCACTGCTGTATACAGTCACCAAAAGCTATTTATGGCAACCCTGATTTCTGTTCTGTTCTCCTACATAAAAATCCTTGTTCTCTGCATATATACTGATGCTGTGCTTGACCACCACCCCTACTCTCACTGACAAACTCATCTGCATGATTGTGTCTGTGCGGATGTGTCATCATCCAATTTTCTGGTTCCATAACACCTTTTGAACATTTGTCTTGTTCCTGCACTATGTTCTCTCTGGTCCCTGAATTATTGCTGAGTTGCAGGAGAATTCAAGGCAAAAGAACACATAAAAATCACACTGCTTGGTAACTCCAGTCCTATCTGCACCATCTTTGTGTAAGGGATACATTCTTTTGCCAAGCTCTAGAAAATTCAGTTTATATCTGGAGTTGGAGCTTCAGAACAGCAGATAAAGATAATATGCTGTATAAATGTAGCAGATCCAAGGTAGTCAGCACTGGCATTTGTATATAAATATATTTGCTTAGCCACTGAAACACAGCTGTTACTCTACAATGATAGTCAGTGAAGCTTTCCCTCTAATACGTTCTTTCCAATCAAGTCACTAAAAGCAATCCCTTCTCCCATCCCAGAAAAGAAACTGAGCTCTGCAAAAGGTCATTCAGAGCATGTTTTAGAAGAGGATTGTGCATAGTACAATCCTAGCTTTGCAGTTTCATTACTGGAGTCACTGAACTGCTTAGATGAACCCTGGGAGTAAAGGCCTCAGCAGCCAGAGAAAAATAAAGTTTAAGCTTCATTCTTTATTATGCAGTTGTTAATGAAGTTTTGCTCATCTAATAATTCGTTTCTGAAATGCAGGCGAAGACACATTTGATAACTTGCCCCCTTCACTGCCACCCCCACCACCTCCTGCTCGGCACAGCATGATTGAGCACACAAAACCTGCTGGCTCAGGAAGCCGACCTTCTTCAGGACATGAACTCTTCCTTCATTCTGGTAGGAATACAGAGGAAGCAACACTTTATTTCGTTTTCATTTTCCTTTACTTCAGAAGCTTATCTGTTCAGTGGTAAAGTCGTCATCAGGCTTCAGAATTCATTATACAAAAATATTAAAAAAATCTGTTTTTTTAATGGTGGAGGTGAAGCAACTCAGAAGATAGAAAGACTTCACTTTTCATTATCACAAAGTAATATAATAAGGTCAATATTTCTATACCAGGCTAAGAGATTTTGGTAAATTGTACTTTTTTAGTAAGAGTTAAAACTTGTGCCAAATTTTCTGTTGTAATCTGTGATACTAGTCTATATCCTTTTGTCAGCTCCGTTGTTTTCAATAGTAAACCATAATCCATGCGGTTTATTTTCAAGTTGAAACTTGTGGAAAAGCTAGAAAATAAGGGAAAAGAACATTCTGCTTTGTTAGAACTGTTGTAAAATTTTGCCACAAAACTGTATTAGCTGTAACACAGTTGCTGGGTCCTGGGGTCCATACCCTTTTTGCAAAGTCGAATAACGTTTTTGCTAAGTCCAGTTTTCATCCATCTCTCCCTATAAATCCCTGTGACGCTTTCCATGTGGTATTTTGCTTGTGAAAGGTATAAAAGCTACTTCCACAATTCATGATTTTTGTCTCTGAGTTGAAAAGCGTTTGATTGTCAGGTTAATTAACTTGAAACACTTGCTGTTTATGATACGGATTACAACAGGATTTTTGTGGGTTATAGTGCATGGCTGTGAAGTGAATTTTTTTTTTCTTTGTGTGAGCTTCCTAAGGATGTTGGTGTCTTAAGTTTACTGGGAATATTTTCAGTGACGATCTACCTTGTGCTGTGGTTAGATGTCATCTTACCCTTATCTGCTTTTATTAGAAGCTGTAAGGAGAAGGATAAATTGAAATATTTTGGTGATGGTATCACAAGAAGGCCAGAGTGTAGATGACAAGCAGTCACGTGCAGCTCCGTAATGGCCTCACAGATTGTCAGGTGTTTGGCTGACCTGTGTGAATGGTACTTGCTGTGGGATGAAAGGGAGCTGCTTTAGGTTGAACTGCAGTTACCTTTTATGGAATGTTTTTATTATGTATATTTTGTCATCACTCAAGGTCTGACATTGAGTGATTTACCAAAGCCGTGTATATTTTATTTTGTAAATTCAGCCCAGTGTTATACTTTGTCATATAAGCCTCTGAATGCATCTAGGTAAAAAGACTCAGCACACTACAGAATTTAGAGCTTGATCTTCATAAATACAGGGCCAAGAAAATTAGTTTATCTTCTACACTTCAAAATAAAAGTAATGTAATCTTCAGCAGTCCAGTCTGAATGGGTAACTCAGTTGTACCATCTGATGCAGAAACACACAATGCACCATTCAATTCTAATGGGAATGGAGAGGAAAAATAGAAGCCCTTTTTTAAAGTGTTACTTCCAAATAATCTGAGAAACATCACTGATAGTGTTAAAGAACATTTAATAGCTTTTAAAAAGTACGTGGAATATGTATCTACAGCCATGTATTGTTCTTCATATTTGCATAGGGGACACAATCTTATAGCAGCAGTTTTCATTAATCTTAGGAGCGTATGCATCTACTTAGGCACGCATGGTTGTGTGAATTGGTCTTTTTTTATTCATATGGTATTTCTAAGACCATATTACTCACTTTGCATCTTGTCACATAATCTGCTGTAGATGATTTATGATGAGCTTTTGATGATTGGTTTCCCTACAAGTCTTGGGGGTGATTTCTCAGCTATCCATCAGAGCCTGTCAGATTAGAATAATAATCTCATCATCAACACCAGCAAAAAGTTGCACTCACATACAAATACTCTTATGAGTCCAGAGCAGAAGCCAGATCCAGGATGATGCTGCACTTGCTCAGCTGCATCTTTGGTAGCCAAAAAAAAAAAAAAAGGAGAAGGAAGACACAATGTACCAGGACTGTATATTTCTCTAATTTTTTTAATTCTGTCCTTGTAATATTTACCCATGGCTGGGAAACCCGCCCTGCAGTTTATGTGAACTGCAAAACATAGGAGTGTAATGAAGCCCTAACCAAACTGAACAGCTGGGATATTTCTGTTTGTGTTACTTCAGGCATTGCAAGCTCTCCCATGCTTTGCCAGCCACAATTCAGTGTCAGTTAATTGAAAAGTACCTCATGGATATGAACAGAAGAGTCACGGTCAGTGCAGGATAGACCAACTTTGAGCTGTGCTCTTGGTGTTTGTCACTTCAAAACGTGCTTATATGTGTAATAAGCTAATGCTAATTTGGATGTATATGTTCCATATGCATGTGCTGTTGGGAGAGACCTCTGGATTCATGATTCCTCTCTGTGAAAGGAGGCTATTTTAATCCTAGCTTCTTTGCAACAGCCATCCCGCAAATAATAATTCTAATTTTTCTAAGATACCTTTTTTTTGTTCTGGTATTACAGACCCCCATTTTGATCCAATAACTGGTCATGCTCCTTTGCCACCTGCTCGTAGAGTAACTGGAGAAAATGTCAAAACAAATAGGACATCTCAAGACTATGATCAACTTCCCCCATCTTCAGGTAAGGCAAAAAACTGTTGTTGTAGAAAATTACAGCTTTATGAAGCAAATAACTTTCATCTGTAAAGTCCAATGCATTTTTTGTCATTCTGGGCATCAAATGGCAATGGTAATACTGTTCTACAAAAGTATGATATTATCAAAGGATAACAGAGATTAATGTTCTGCAGTCCAGGTAGAAGTGGCTACCTTTTGTCTGTCGGTGTGGATACTGCAGCATCAATTTTATCAGCTGCCAAACTGAATGCTTATATGAGTTCTAGTTTCTTATTTTTTGAGAAAGGCAGAGATTTTTCTGCCACCTTTAATGCTGACAAGAGATCAGAAGTCCTGCAAGGAGCACAAGCATCTCGTTTTCAGCTTTTGTTTCTCCTTAAAAAATAGTAGCTTCACTCTCTAAACTATTATTATTTTCTGGTCTTTTTTGCTAATATGTTTGTCTGAATTTCTAAGAAAATTTTAAGATGTTTCTTAATAAAATGACAAAAACCAAACCCACTTAAAATTGTCTTCCTTTTCAATGGAACAGCTACAGTAGAAGCAATTCCTCTGCCAAAGAAATTTCCCCTGTGGTTTTTAGGCAACACGAATAGTATTTAAAGAAAAGCTACTCACGTTAATTGAAATAATAACAGAACTACCTGTATTTCAAAGTAATTTCACCAATTTTTAGACAAATATTCTTTCATTTAGATGTGCATGGTACATGGGGAAGGGGAAGGATTGTCCCACCTACATTATTTTGCTGTGTGGAGGGACCACAAAAAGAAACAGCCAAGTGATGTTTTGAACCATTAATCATTCTCCAGATAAGAGGGAGTTGTGTATGAAGACTGCATAAAGAAAGGAAGGAACTCTAGTCTTTCAGCTATAATGATCACCAGTGTTCCATTGCAACATTCCCAAGTGGAAAAAAAAGATAAATTTTTTTAATAGTAATTGTATGTTTCCTTCTCAGGAATACATAGTTTCACTCTGCTGGGGTATAGGAAAAAAAGAATATAGTTTTCCAACTTAAATGATGGGAAATTTCTGTACCACTCTTCAGGCTGGCTTATTTTTTAATAAATAGCATAACTGAAAATTAGTGTGATGCCATTGGTAAATACTATCACTTTTGAGAGAATACCTTTACAAATATAAGAGTATTTCTCTTTTTGTTTCCCATTGTTAGAAAAAAAAAAGTTTATAGTGCGTGTTTTATATGTGACATCATGAGGGATTTATTTATCTTACAGTGCTAAACTGATTTATTTAACGTGCTTTAAGTTCTCTTATAATACAAATTAAGACAATGATGTAACTACTTTTAAAGCTATGGAGTTTTCCTGCAATTCTTGCAATTCTGTGGTAGAACAATTTTTAATTTTCCTCAGTTACTGCAGGCTGCTTGCTGCTTAAGAACTTAGAGCTTTCTGATGTCACTTAATAAATACTTTTCTATCTGTATGTTTCCCACGGCCATCTTCTAAAACACGTGTCAACTTTTGCTATAAATATCATTCTAAGTCAGCATGATATGCAGCAAGATATTCTGTTTAATTTCAATTAAATGAAAACTATGTGATAGATCATGTCATTCTCTTAATTGGAAAGTTGTTTTCACAGTGGCAGTAATTCCAAAGGATAGAACTGATGAGCTTCAGGATGAACTGGTTCACCTTCATCTATGATTTAAAAAGACAATGTAGAAAGTGTAGCTGCATTCAGAGCTTTTTCATTTATTCTGAACTAATCAGTTCACTTAGGAAATTCTTCAATTCAGTGCTTTTGTGAGGCGATTCTTTGAACTAGCTGAAAAGAAATGGAGTTTTCTCTAAAATCTAATTATAATTTAGCTACTGGGTCCCTAGAGTAGCATGGGGTGTCCTTTAACTTCTCTGCCTCACTTTCACTGTTTTTAAGATTGCTGTCATGATGTTTAACTGAATTGTTAATGCGTAATGAGAAATTTATTCTAATTTAGCCAGGTATCCAGTATTGAACACTTAAGAAATAGTACTCAGCTATGCAACTAACTACTCCAAAGGCATGGTTTCTCAAACTTTTTATATACAACTCTTTAAAATTATTACAGAAAGAGCAAGAGAAGGAGATAGGACTTGGGGGTGCTGGTGGATGAGAGGCTGGACATGAGCTGGCAATGTGTGCTCAGAGCCCAGAAAGTCAATCATATCCTGGGCTGCATCAAAAGCAGTGTGGGCAGCAGGTTGAGGGAGGTAATGGGATCCCCAGCATAGGAAGTATATTGACCTGTTGGAGCAAGTCCAGAGGAGGGCCATGATTAGAGGGATGGAGCACTACTCCTATGAAGACAGGCTAAGAGAGTTGGGAATGTTGAGCCTGGAGAAGAGAAAGCTTCAAGGTGACCTAATTACAGCCTTCCAGTACCTGGAGGGAGCCTGCAAGAATGCTGGAGACTTTTTACAAGGGCGTGTAGTGACAGGACAAGGGGGAATGGCTTCAAACTAGAGAGAGCAGATTTAGGTTACGTATTAGAAAGAAATTCTTTACTGTGAAGGTGGTGAGGAAAGGTTGTCCAGAAAAGTTGTGGATGCATCATCCCTGGAAGTGTTCAAGGCCAAGTTGGATGGGGCTTAGAGCAGCCTTGGGATAGTGGAAAATGTTCTTGCACATCCATGGCAGACGAGTTGGAACTAGATGATCTTTAATGTCCTTTCCAACCCAAACCATTCTGTGATTGTGTGATATTGCCAATAATTAGCATATTTTACCTAAGCACAGCCAATGATAAGAGGGAAAGGAAAAAGAAATTTAGGCCTCTAAGATAGATATATTTTGCTGAACTTAGCTATTCTGTAAGAAATGGATTCAAATGGTTAGTTAGGTGTATTTGCCTGCTGCCTGTTCACTCACATGGTCTGATTAAAACACTTGGCATGTAAATTTAAATTCCTTTACACGGAAATATTATTTCAGGGTGGATTTCAATTAACATTAGGGGCAATAATGTGCCATGGTAATGCAGAATACAAAGATCGTGCCTAACAGCTTGATAGAGCAATGTGTGCAGTGACTCCTTTCTCACTTTCTCCCTGCTCTCTGAGTTAGTGCAGATGTCCCCTCAGTAATGCTTTGTTCCTGTACCCCAGTCAGATTGGATGTAGCTGCTTGCCACTGTTCAGCAGAGGGCCTTGCACAGCCAGCCTCCGTCACCTGCTTCTCTGATGCTTCTCAGTCTGTCCGTGAAAGACCATGGGATGTACAGGAGAAGCAGCAAGGGAAGAAAAGAAGGGCATTTCACAGCAGAGAGGAGTAGACAGTTGTCATCGTTACAAATAGCCTCTTCCCACTGTGCCACAGAGCCTTCACTACTTTTTCCATGCATTTTGAACACTTATTAAATGGGCCTGTGTCTGCCTTTATACTAACCAAGGGTTAAATCTAGTGCTGATTTACAGAAATGTGAGTGATAGAGGAAGCTCCTTGCTGTAGAAACTGTTAATTGAATTACACAATTAGAAAATCTATTTGAATTTTTTAGTTAGACATCCATGGTGGATGGAACATCAGAGAGGATGGGAGATGGGATGGAAAGTCCTGTTTAATACCTCTATCTCAGTGTCCAGATGGACATGCAGCTGAGGCTTAGTATCTTTAAGCTCAGGATCCAGTATGATACCCAGCTTTAGCTAAAATTTTATATGGATGTGAAGATATTGAAAGAGCTGTCAGTGCTTAAAAAAATAATAATGGGAATTGAGAGAGAGTGCTGAAGATCTTAAAGTATCTGTGCTGTAGAGAGATGTCACTGTAGTTAGAATAAAATGCCTATGCTGCAAATCTGCTGACAGAATTAAAAATGACCTTTCTAAATGATGTGATTGCTTAATAAAGTTTGTTTGAAAGCTTCAGCAAAGGAAGGTTTTAAACAAGAAATAACTTCAGTTTTAAGCCTGTATGAGACTGAGTAGAGAAAAATATATCCTCATGTAACACATGCACACAGAAGGATCTGATCTATGCACAAGGAATTTCTTCTGTGCTTCAAGCCCCAGGGAAAATGTAAAGTTTGTAAATTAATTTTGTTTCATACTCTAGAAATGAATTCCATAATGAAATGTACATATGAAAATAGTTTGAAATGATTGTGAAAGAAAATTGATTGGTTTTAACTTGATGTGCCATTATTTTAAATATAAGGAATATTCTTCTTTTACAGTCTTGAGTCTTCTAAAATAAGTGAAGTGAGAAATTTGAACTTGTTTCTGATTTGGTTTTTAGTGATTAACCACATTTCCTGAGCTACATTTAATTTCTCAGACCAGTGTGTTTCATGGATCTTCCACACCTTCTTAGCAGGTTTGGATCTGCTTCAGGTGTGTTTATTAGAATGCTTATCATTTACATAAGTCTTTTCATCTTCAGAGAGAAAAAATCAGAACAAATACAAAATAGCCCTTACTATCTGTAGGTTGTAGCTCCTTACTATAAATCTTTAATCAAATTTCTTTCATGCATTTGTTATATGAATATCAGCATCTTGCTAAAAGTACTATTATCTTTTCTGAATTAAGAAGTGGAATGAAATTTTATAACAACACTCATCTGAATGGATGGAAAAAACATTAGACATGCACTAGTGTGAACTGTTTTCTTTCATCTGAAATATTTAATGCACTCAGTGGAATTATAGTTCTCTCTATCCAGTGTTATGATAAGGTAGCATGTTATAACAAGAATACTAGAAATATAATATTTCTTCCATCCCTAAAAAACTGTCTCTGAAGTACTTAACACTGCAAAATGCCATTGCTGTCAGTGTAAGTAAACAGGAATTATCACGGCCAGAAATTCCTCTAATTTATCTCTATCAAAGTCACTGTTGATGAGACTCTTTAGAACCCTTTCTGAGGGATTAAAGACTTTTTAAATTTTTTTTAATACTTCGCTCTTGAAAGTGTTTTCTGCACTATGCCTGCTTGTATTTAAGCTTCTTATTGGGGAATCAGTGAGGATAAGGAGGTTTCAGTAAAGTACCAAGTTTACTTGAGCACAAAACTCTTGACTCTGAGAAGATTAGCAACTTTGAATATTAGCTTTTTTTCACCAGCACATCAGGATTCTCAGCCACCAGCATCAACTATGAAGGTAACCTTTCCAGAGAAGATAAGGAAAGGGGAGAAATTTCCAAAGGGAGACTGGAGAGGGAGGATCATGCTCTGTTCCCACCATGAGAATAATCGGACTAGAGTTTTTTTTCAAGAAACCAGTTATTTATGTACTTAGGTGTAGCTGTTGTGCATAAAATGAACTGCAATTGACTGAACAGAATCTGCAAGATGTACCAATAAGTGAAGGATTTTTCTCCCTTGGATTTGTCTGGATTCCTCTTCTGCGAAACTTACAGTCTTCAATAAAATTGTGATCAAATTTGTGCTTGGGTTTTGCTTGTTTGTTTTTTGTTTGGTGGGTTTTTTTGTTTGTTTGTGGGTTTGTTGGTTGGGGTTTTTTTAAACTAAGAAAAAGTTTTCGAGCTGTGGGTTAAGAGTGGAAAGCCTTTAAAATTTTGACCGGCTATTTTCACCATCTTTTTTGTTCCATCATACTTTCTTTTTCTTCTGACTTTGGATAATCCAAATTGTAAATTGCACGTTTCTATCATGTTATTAAACTAGTATATTACTACATGATTTCCATTTTAGATGTTCTCGAGGACTTCAGCTTTTGCCCAAATTTTAAAATGAGATATATCAGTTAACTAAAGTATTTCTTCATGTTTCTTTACTGTTTTACTGTTTAAACTGCTTCATGAGGCTTGACCTACCTTTAAAAAAAACCTTAAGCCAATATATATTGATTTCTATCTCTTCTATTTGAAACAGATGGTTCACAAGCACCAGCCAGGCCCCCTAAACCACTTCCTCGGAGAACTGCACCAGAAATACATCACAGGAAAGCATACAGCTCTGACAGTTCCACGGAAAATGTGGATGCAAAAATTGCAAAACTCATGGGAGAGGGCTATTCCTTTGAAGAAGTCAAGAGGGCACTTGAAATTGCCCAGAATAATGTTGACGTGGCCCGTAGTATTTTAAGAGAGTTTGTCTGTTTTCCTCCACCAGTCTCTCCACGTCTCAACCTATAGCAGCATCAAGATTTTCTTGGAGCATATGAATAATTCTACAGATACATGTGTGGATTGGGGAATGAGAGGAAGAAGAGAATGGAATATTTTTCTTTCATCCTTAGTAGAAGGGTGTTTGTTTCCAGCCGTTTATCAAAGGCTCATGGCTGCTCTGATCAAGACTTATAAATATGCTGAGGCTTATGTATTTTTGCTAGCCATACTTTTTTAAATCAGGGTTGAACTGACAAAGTAATTTAAAGAAGTTTACTTCCCTAGAACTTTTAATCTGTGAAATGCTTTTTCTTGTTTACAAGTTGGCAAGTTACAGTTTTCTAGTTTGTGCCTGTACTATGTTCCTGTTCATATTCCCTTGTACTTGTGGTCAGTTCTGCTGTAGCATTCCCAACAGTTTCCATGCTGACCACTCCATCAACTAAATCATCACTTTCCAGAAGTTCTGTGTTTTGTTTTGTTTTTCTCTTACAAGATTGCTTTAATTGTTTTTTTTGCATTTCAGCTCATCAAATGCAAAAAGTATGTGGCCTTCACTACTGATTTTTTTTTTTCTTCTGAGATTCCTTTGCTTTTGAGAGAGGAAATATCTGAATGTAAAATGCATTATTTTGTCTATGAACTGCCTTTTTAAAGGTATTTTGACAGTGATGTTGGGCAGCTTTCTGTTTAACATGAATTCCATGACCTGTAGTCCCCCAGGTCTTTTATATACAGTTTCCCCAAAAAAATCCCAAACAACAAATAAAATACTTCATGCAGCAGTGATACTGAGTTCTCACATGTAAAATCTCTTTCAAATTTGAATATTTGATTGCAAACATTCAAAAAAAGTCAAATGCACACAATAATACTGTGTTTTGATTACACACTAATGTCACCAGTTCTTTGTGACCTGAGTCATGCCAGAGTAGAAGGAATCTATTTGAATAATATTAATGGTATTCAGGTAAATTCCAGGTCTAACTTCTGTAAAATAGAATGCAGTTAATTTTTTGTTTAAGTGATTATCCTGTGGTTCATTGTGGCTTGGATCAGTTTGTATTAACTTGGAAACTTTTAATCTTTGATGCACTGTTAATTTCTAATGCTACTGTAGCAACATTTTTTGCAAAATTCTTTAGTAATGTCCTCCCTCCCTGTACACTTTATAATTCTCGAGTATGTGTTTAATATCCAAATTCCTTCACTCAGTTTCCAACTGCTTAGTTGGAAATACATTTTTGCTTTACGTGGTTAGTGGTACTCCAGACTTTGATGTTTCGTTTTTGAGCCCAAACTGATGCAAGCCAAATAAAAAATAATCCGAATTTTAGAAAAGGGAGAGAAGACAACTCTTTTGTGAGTACACTCAAAGTAAACAGTCCAAATATTTTCAGAAAAATTCTTAAGATTGCTGCTTTCTTGTTTTTTTAGGAAACTTTGAAATCTTCGTTTATTCTAATACTATTGAAAAAATAATACCATGTGGTAGTTAGAATATTTTTCACATTTTGAGATGTGACCAGTATATGAAAATTTTCACAGTGTGCCAAGCTGGGTGTGAAGTATATATTCATTATTCCCTTTCAGCTCTTAGTGTTCTCCTTCACGCTGGGCAAGTGTTAAAAGTTACATCATTTACAGGTCAGACCTCAGCAGCCAATGCATTTGTTGAAAAGATTTTTTTTTAGAAGACAGCAAGTGGCTGAATTGCAGGATTCAGAGTAACTGAGAACACTTATTGGAAATTACTGTGCTGTCTCAAAGTCCATTGTTTCATCAAGGAACTTATTCTTAAAACCAATTAAATAAATTACTTTGTAGCATCACAAAGTGTAGTACATATATCATTAATCTGCTTCAGTGATAAAAATGATCAGGACAATTCAGGGTATAGGGAAGAACTTCTATTCTGTTTTGATTTAAGCAAATGATTCTGAGTTTATGTTCCAGAAAAGAGCATTTGCAACTTCATTTACTTGTTCACTCTTCAAGTACAGCTTATGAAAAGTTTAAGTTTAAGTTATATTCTATGCTTTTATAGTTCAAGTTAATCTCTTTCCTCAGTTTTGGGAATAAGTTTTGTCTAGTCTTGAAACCCTCTTGTTCATTTGGTTTGTTTACAACATCACTGTAGCATTTTAGCTAGCTATAAATTCAAAATGATTCATGCTATTAAATTATACACTCTGGTTGTACTGGAATCACTGAAATGAGGTTCTAGCATAACTGCCAGCATAGCAATGATGACAGTGAAAAAAAGAACACTTTACAAGGATGAACAAACAATGTGCAGATTCAGTTTTGAAATTTTGAATTGTTATGAAGAACTCATTTTCTTTCTTTTTATGCAGAAGCTTAGTACAAATTACATCTTTATATTTCAATTAGAGGCTGGAACTACTGCCTGACAGATTAAGGTTTTTAAAGTTTTCCTTCTCCTTTCTGGTTGTGACCACCAGTGACACTTACTTTTTTCATTATGTGTTAAAAAAACAACTTGGTGAGCAATATTCTGAGTGGTAACTTGAAAAGAGTTCCATTAATCTTTAAATGAGTGCTAATAACACTTCTAAATAGTGGAAAATGCAGACTATTTCAAGCCCGTTTTGGTTAATAGTTTTAAAGTCAAACAGAGCGAAATTGCTTTGCTAGAGTGTTGATGTTTACTCTGCAGGAATTAATAGGCTTAAAATAAATTAATCTGGCTGCAGTCTAGGTCTCTAAAGACATAGTTCTCTAAACATATTTTAACCTTTGAAAGACTCAAGGGTTTGAGCCTGGCAGTGTGTTATGCACATATATAACTTTAAGGAAGACTGACTTGAGTGAGAGTGCTTGGATGAACAAAGCTGGTTAAACTCAGAAACATGTGCTGTCATATTTCTTCCAATATTTCAGCCTTTAGACCATCATTGTGATGTCTGTTGGCCTCATCTTTTCTCTCCTTTTGGTAAAATCACTGCATTTTGAGCAAATTGGCTGAATCAGAAGTTGAACAGAGCAAGTGGACATCAGCAGCACGGATCTTTTCCAAAGACTATGAGTAGAAAGAATTTAAATTGGGATAAGAGAAATTAATTTAATGTAATTAACCATGTTAATGGCTTAGCTGGAACCCTAAAATGGCCACTGGTAAAATTTGTTAATGTTCAGTATCTCAAGAGTGCATCTGGCACAGCTTTTTTATAATGTGAATTTAGGAAGTTTTGTACCAGGATCATTTCTTCTGTTATATTTCTTTAATTTTCAGCTTGAAGCTTTACTTTGCACTGACAACTCTGACCTGAAAGCATTTAAGTTTGTGTCTTAAATATTGACAAATTTTGAAGCAAATGAACACCGTATTCAAAGCAAATTCAGGTACTACCTGTTGACCTGGAATTTAGAGCTTTTAGGAGTGACTTCTTGAAAAAGGACTTCAGTAGTTTCCATTTTGAAGGATTTTCTTTCAAATAACTATTTTATCTGAAAATGCCTTTTATAAACTTGTCTAACATGTGGCAAACTTAGTGATGTGTTCAATTAATTTATATTTTATTCAACATTCTTTTTAAATTTTGGTTATTATGTATGCTCAAGTTCTTTATCTGTTCATGTAAGATATTTTATAAAATTAATGTTAAGAGAATGTTGGGTTGGTCCGTGATTTTTCAAGACTCTATGTCTCTCTTGTTATTGAATATTATCACTTTTCATATGACACTTTAGAAACATATCCTGTCCTGTGTAGGGACCTTAAAAACCATTGTTTTGTAAGTCACAAAAATGAGGCCTTGTTCTAAAATAAGGTGAATCACTGCATTGAGACATTTGCTTTATATCCCCATACATTACCTCATTTCTAAATTTCAGTAGTAAAAACTTATAAATTGGCAGTAACTTTGGAATGTGCATTTAATAGTTGTATGTCAGAAAGATGCTGACCATTAAATATTTAGAATCTAAAGTGGTGAACATATAGTCTGACTGTATATTAATTTATAGGATTTTTTCCTGAAGAAAATTACAATAAACTCGCACTGATATTTTTTTTATATACTGTGCATTTACATTCTCAAACATTGTACTCTTAATGTAAAAATATTTTAGGCATGTAAAACATTTTTTTTCCCTGTTACTGTATTCCAGCATTCTGGAAAAATCTAACCACTGTACTATGCACGGCAATACAACTGTTACTATTTAAACCCCAACACTGTTCCCTGCAGGTTGGATTAGACCTTCAGTGTAGAGATTTTCATGGTACTTTCCTCAGTGTGTTAAACCTTTGCCCATTATATAGGTCACTAGTCATATTACTAATTTGAGAAGTTAACTGTTTGGTATACTTGTCTGTAGTACTCTAGGTGCCTGTTTCTTCCAGTTTTATTCTTCTGATGTTAGAGTCAGCTGTCACGTTGTGTTGCAATCAAATTTTAGCAGCTGGGTGCTCTAGGACTGTTCCGGGAATTTTTGTTTGATAGATCCAGTCATTAGTTCTGTACAAGATACTTGCCTCAATTTATCAGTTTCAATGAGCCTCCATCAGGAAAATCATAAATTTAGATTTTAAAGTAGTGTGTTACTGTGGCATCTAAATGTTCCATTTGTCCTTAGGTACTTTCATGTCTAGCAGTGGAAATTCTTATTCAAAAAAAATCCTAATTCCCAAATCTTAAATCGCAAAACAAATCTTAAATTTGTGAAACTTGATTGCATAATTATCCTGAACATTTTAAGGAATTTAAAAACCTCAGAATAATGTGAACTGTGACAGGATTTTTGCTTCCTAGACCTGCCAGAAGCAAAAGCACAAACTCATTGAATAATAATCTTCTGGCTGCTTGCATCTGTGTTGATCTGTGAAGGAATCAGCCAGTCCAACTAAAACAGTACTTGTTGAAAAAGAGCTTTTTTTTTTTTTCCCAATAACTGCCGTGGTAGCCAGCAGGATGGGAGAGGAGCAGAGAACTAGATAGAAGAAGATAATTCTATCATAACAACCCAAGCCCCTCTCTCCTGTTGGCATGCAAGATTTAGCTATTGTGAACTGCCTTTATTATCTAGTGCAAATAACGGAGTATTTGCTAAAATTATTCCAGTCTTCAATTACTGTGTCCTTCTCGAAGGACACACTTATTTGAAAGACACAGTGTTTTGGTACAGGATGGCAGGGTCTTTGCAGCAGAGGGAAGTCTGAAGTAGCATTCCTTTTAAAAAAGTGTTTTGATGCTAGCAAAACAACCAAAAGCTTTATAATGATTTCAGTAGAAACACCTGTTTTCAAGTTCATCATCTTGGTTCTTGAAGGATGTGTATATGTACATTTATGTACATGCTTGTCTGGTGAAGCATGGAGAAGGGAGTATTCCAAATGATGCCAGCCTGGGGAGTTCGGACCTGGGCTCTCTGGTACTCACATTTGCAAAATACCTGCTCCTTTTGGGTAGCTGAATCTGCTGAAAGTGAATCTGCACCATAATCAAACTACTACATTAATTTGTGTTTCAAAAGGCAAGTTTTTCTCCATAGGGAGCTTGGGAGGGGCATACATTTACTCTGAAATAAATAACTTTCTTCTGTGCATCTGTAGTGATTAAGGCACTGAAAATAATAAATGCTCTCTAGTTTTCATTAGACCACAGTGCAATAAGTGCCCTATGGAGAACTCTTTTTTTCATTTGCTAATTGAGTGTCCCTGAATTTCAAATTCTTTACAAACATGTTACATCATGAGCCATTCAGAAATACCTCAAGGTAGTGACTGGTGTAGTTTTCTAAAGCTATTATCTTGCCTGCACATGTGACTTTCAAGTGTTTCCTCTTGTTTACATCTTCATTACCAATTCAGTGTGGTCCATATAAAATTATTGAATGATTATTTAAAAGCTTTCTTTCTTTTTACTTTATGGCTGTTATCAGTAGTACCTTTATTATCTAGGCTCACACACTAAAATTCAAATTATCCTGCTCTCATACACCCTAGCTTGGGCCAAGTTCAGCCTGACCTTTGTCCCACAATAGATGTATCACTTGGCATCCTTATCTGCTCCCTCCCAAATCTCTTCTGTGACATCAACCACTACCACATCCTTCATCTACATAAGGGCAGACACTTGGCAGTTTCCCATCTCAGCTTGCAACCACATCTGTATTTTCTTCTGTGATCCCTCATAAAGTGTTCTGCTGGCCTTGTCTGTCTCAACCATTAGACAGATTCTCTGTGCCATATCCAAATGGCTCCTGTGAGCATGGTCATCCAAAATGGATTCAGAATTCTGTGAGAAAGCCTGTTTTCTGTGTTAACGTCACTGGCATTTTTTTCTGTTCCCTTCTTGACCTGGAAATGCACTCTTGTGTTTCATGATTTGCTTGTCAGGGACAGAGATGAAATCTTATTTCAGCAGATCCCTATTCTGCTTCTGATATGTGAAAAGAAACAGAGACATCTCCTAGTAACAGTCCTTGTGTTTGAGATGACTTGTGTCTCAATATGAGAGTTAAGGAGTTTGTCCAACAAATTTTGTTTGTAGCTTGGAAAGTCAGAAACGTATTTAATTACTTCTAGTACTTAGTGAGGTGCAGGTGGAAGGGATAAATCTTATAAGATGTGTCAGTGAATTTGGGAATTCACTTGCAGATGTGCTCATTACCATTAGTGGCTGATTGACTCTACACCTTTGTCAAAGAAGTATCAGGTAACTTGAAAACTCTCACATAGAGAAGATAAAGGCATATATCTGAATGACATTTTAGACAAGTTTCACATTTCAGAGTGTGGATGAAAGAGGGAATTTGAGTTGTGCACTCAAATGTACAACTTTAAGTGTACGAGGGTACACTGAAGTGGAGGAAATCTTATCTTGTTTCATGGCAGAGCATAGTTACACGGAAAGGGCTTTATGTTCCTGCATGTATCATTCCAGAGTGATTTGTGCCATAGTTAATAACCTTATTTTAGTGTTTACCCTCGTACCACTACTCTTCACCCGCACTCCTTGTTGTGGTGTCTGGCTCAGCTCTTTAATTCTGTATGGCAAGCTGCTCAGTCAGTTCTCATAGCAACTTTTTTTTACCTGTGATTTAACATGTGGTTTCCAGGCCCCACAAGGCTTTTCTATATTTTTGAGGTTTAGTTTTAGCAGGAAGTATGTTAGCAATAAACAAAGCTGGCTTGGAGTTAAACAGACTTGTCTTCAGGCATTGGCATCCTTTCCTGTGATGTGTTAGTGTTGCTGAGTAAACAGTCTCCAAGATTATTAGGAGAGGCAGAGCCTTCATTGTATCTGTGCTTTGTTTTTAGGATGTTGAGATACTGGCTGACTGGGGCATCACTGCAGGCTGTGAACCTGCCATCAAACTGGCTCTTGGTTCCCTTTTTAACCACACTCCATAACAATTTCTAAGGGCTTGAGACCAAATTAAAATTGACTGTGGCTTCATTCAAAGATGATGTGGGTATGCTTTCACTTTTTGTGGCTGTGTAACTTGCTGTATTCATGTGTGGTGCCATGAGCATAATGCTGTAATACTCAACCTATCCGGAAACTCATGTCATTTCCATGCTTATTTAGTGGTTAATAATCTTTGCCTTGTGAAGTACATGAGGTTCCTCTGATGGGGTGCACAGGACAAAGGTTAATTTCTTGCTAGTGATGAGTACAGCAGTCTGGAATAACAGCTCATACAAAGAGACTCCTGTTGATGTACAAACTCTCTTAGTAATGTGGATTGATTTTTCTTGGTTGAATGAGCTGAAATTTATTTTTCAGTGATCTGCCCTTATGGCACCTTGTATTATTTATACTGTATCATCATTGTATTTGAGCTGTCTCCGTTACAGCAATATCCATGCCTCTTGAGGCTGCCTGGTCTCCCTTTCAAGACTAGCAAAGTCTGTCAAGAGAGATGTATGAGATATATGGAGTGGATCTGGTTGCCTGATTTGTTAGTTAGTAGCATGTTTGTGGGATAAAAAGGATTTCTGGAGAAGCATTTTATTTATCTATCTATCTATTTGAGAGTAGGTTTTATGGTGGAGAAGTTTTTATTTTGAGTTTTTGGAAGCTATTGCTTTTTAAAAAAGGAAGATGCTGGTAATCTTTTTGTTGCTTTTTCAAGTTATATATATTGAACAGTGGCTTTGAGGGAGTTGCATATTCTCCAACTTTTTATTTTTTTTCTTCTTGGTTAACAACTAGGAAAACTTCTGCTCCCTCTGTACTTTCTGAAATGATGCCAACCTACTGATGCTTGTTCAGCAGTTACACTGTCTGAACAAGACCCTGTTGTCTATCTGTTGTTGGCACATCAGTGATAAGAGGGTACAAAGGTTTCTCAGAGGAAATGGGAAGGAGGGATGTGACAAAGGTGCCTGCAAAGGAAGAGAAGGAAATACTCTTGAAGGAAAAAAACTCTTAAGGAATAAAAAAAGGAAGAAAGAAAGGGTTCATGTAATGAACATTCTTTCACCAAAATTCTTTGTCATTTAATTCTCTCAGTGTAAATAACATAATTAGCTAAAACACAAGTGGTGGTAGATAATACAACTTAATAATTTCATTTAATGCTGTTTTAATTAAACAGCAAGCCTCAGAAAGAGTGGGTGTTTCTTTTGTTCTTTATATTGTAATTAAAGTAAGTTTAGTTGGCATCTAAGTTTAGAAAATATTCAT